ACTTGGGAGCAGCTTAAGATGAAATATAAAAACATTGTTCAAGTCTGAGGTTGCAGCACAGTGTCAATAACAGAATATAATTTAAAATTAATTTAACATATCTCTACATCATTTACCTACAATCCTGTGGAACTCCTCCTTGATGGCTCTGACAGGTTTATGTCCAGGGAAAACAACAAAAGCCTTTTCAGGGCCACGCACATTTTTCTAACCACTCTGAATACAGTTGTCTTACTCAGGTGCTCTGCATCTCCGACGTTGTACAAAAAAACTTCTATTTGCAAAGAAACGCAGTGCAACACATAATATCTGCTGGGATGTGAGAGCATGACTACGGTTGGTAATGCTGCACATGTACAGACGGATTAGGCTGTATGAAGATGATCGACTGCAGCATAGGTGAGGGTAGGGGCCACAGAGGCCATGGCCCCTGCTGGAATCTGATTGGCCCCCTCTCATGTGAGGGTCAGACCAGTGAACCAGACAGGTTCAGGGGGACAGTTCTGAGGACAGGCATCCAAAGTAGGACCAGTCCAGCAGCTGTAGCCCATCATCAGCACCAGGTGACATGCAGAGCAGGACAGACAGACATTCCTCAGAGCAAATTAAGAACAACATTGTTAATATAAAAGATCAGATCGTTGTGTTTATTTGTGTATTTACATGTATGTATCATTTTAATTTACCTTGAGCCATCAGGCTGGTAATTTTACATTAGTCTTCACACTGTGAATCAATTTGAGTGTCATGAGTTTTCTTTTGAAAGAATCAATTATTGTACAATCCATATTATACACGTATGTTCTGACCCCCCGCCCCCTGAGCTAACTTGGTGTCACGAGAGTGGCAAGAAACAGAGTGAGCAAAAACAACTCAGCAGCAGCAGAAAGATCCCAGAGATGGTTTTGGATTAGCAGAGGAGACGCATGGCAAGATGCTAAGAATACCAACGCAAACTGTGGCATGGAAAACTCTGGCTGGGTCACTCAGACAGGATGTCTAATGATGTTTTACATACCTTGTCAAGAAAAACTTAATTACCTCAGAACCTCAGAGAATTCATCACAAGATTGAAATCCCTACAGGCCTTACACGCAGAAGGGCCAGGCTGCAGTTCTTGTGGAACAAACTTCTATCGACTGATGGAACAAAACTCAGGCTCCATCAAAATGATGTAAAGTGTGGGAAGCAAAGGAACAATTCAAAGTGCCACCTCATCTGTTACATATAGCAGTGCTGTTGTTATGCAGCTGGCATGTACAGCTGCCAGTCACACTAAAGTTTTAAAAATGTACTATTTATAAGAGCAATGGGATTAATGCAGAGCATGTACATCCACAGGTGCATTCTGCAGCCTCTTCTATTTCTCTATTTTGTGCCACCTCGGCTCCTCTAACCTCCTGCCTGTTACCTGGAATTTGATTTCAGTGCATTTCTTAAAAAGGAAGGAGCAAGGAGAGAGGAGGCTTGCTGGAGGACCTATGAGGATGCATGGTGTATCCTCGCTGTCTCCTTTGAAAAGTCTTTTCAGCACTCATGACACGTGAAGGAGGCATGATACACAGCTGGGATATGCAAAATGCAGCAGGAGCAGGACTGGCGAATATGTGTTTATAATACATATTAATCATGATATAATTCAGTGTAAATCTATAAGTTGTTATGCTCATCTGACAGAAATCATAAAATGAAGTGGTAGGTTGGATCAAAACAAAGGACAGATAATGAAGATGTGCTACATGTCATATTTACTTCATATTGTTTTAAAACAATACTTCCAAGACAAGGATGTCTCACTTTAATGCCTTGACTCCTCTTCTCACATCTCACAGGGCTGAGGATGGAAGAAGAGGAGGTAAGAAAAGGAATGGAGGGTGTAAAAAGTGAGACATGAGAGAAGGGGTCCTTGCCAGATTTAGCCAAATGCTTAACAACTCGTTGGATGACATTTTATCATTTAGCAAGTCAACTTTTCAAAGCAAATATTAACACATATCCTTCAGTGGTAGAGCCACCTGATCTCAATCAGACTGAGCTGTATTCCACTTAGAGGAGATCAGACCCGCGACAAGCAACAGCTGAAGGTGGCTGAAGGAAACATCTGGACAAGTACCATTAGGGAAGACGCAAAGTAGTTTTTCTAGAAGGAAACTTTAATTCCTTGACATATCATCATGAGAAATGTGAGGTCTTTCTCTAACGGGCTGGACGAGCTAGCAGCTAACAGCGCTGACCCAGCTGCGGTGGGAGTTTAAGGAGTGCAGCCTTATGTTGTTCACAGAGTCATGGCTGAACAAACTCACTCCGGACTCGCTCGTAACTTTGGACGGATTTCACCTGTTCAGAGCGGACCGGAGCTTGAGGGAGAGTGGTAAGAAGAAAGGAGGGGGACTCACCATGTATGTGAATGAGAAATGGTGTAATGCTGGCATGTTAGCGTTAAAGAGCAGCGCTGTACGAAGGATAATGAACTGCTGGCGGTTGGTTTGCGGCCGTTTTACCTGCTGAGGGAGTTTTCGCACGTCCTGGCGATTGCAGTTTGCATCCTCCCCCCTCGGTGAACTCATCCATTAGTTCAGTGTCCCAGCTGCAAACATCACACCCTCAGTCTCTGATCGTCATCTCAGGAGACTTTAATCATACATCGCTCTCCACCACTCTCCCCTCATTCAGTCAGTATGTGGACTGCCTAACCAGAGGTGGTGGGGCCTTGGACCTGCTGTGTGCGGACACCGGGGATACAATAAAGTATTCTATT